GGGGTCACACACACAACGGCCACGCGGATTGGTGAAGAGACATAGGGGCCGGGCATTCGCAGCTCCTTGTGACGCAGCGTGGGGCTTTTTGGCGCATGCGTGTCCGTGAGGTCTGGGCGTCCGGAGTGGCAGAGCCTTGTGTGAACGGGCCCATCCGGAGTTAACGTGGCTTCACTCCGGTTTAGCTGCGTCCCTCTGCAGGGGGAATCTGCGCGGCGGCTCTTTGGCTGACCCGGTTTATCTACTCGCCCGCAGTTAATCCGGATTAATCTGCCCGTGTAGACAAGCCCTGCGTGCCCTGAGCCGTGGTTCCCCCTGCAGCACATCGCCCCGGGGGGCCAGGCTGCGCTGGAGGCTGGTGCCCTGGCAATGCCCCAGAGAGGGACTATGGGAAATGGCACATACAGACTGGGGTGGGTGGGAGACCCCCTTGTACCCGCCTCCATCTGATCAATGTAATCACCCGGTGGCCGGTGGGCCCTGCTGGATGTGGGACCCTACCAGGACAATGGTGCCGCTGGGCCCTTTGTCCAGCCAGTGGGGCCCGGAGGGGCTGCATTTGCTTCCTGTTGCTTTAGCCATGTGGCTGGAGCTGTCCTTCTGGATGGCGCAAGCGAGAAGAGCTGGGGATGGGGTGCCACCTGGGGTGGGCTGAGAGCCTGGCTGGTTTCACAAAGAGCCTGGCTGCCGGAGGGGGTGGCACTCAATGGAGAGGACTGGGAGGACAGCGCAAAGGCCAGGAGCTAAGGGCTGTGTCTAGACTGGCCAGTTTTTCTGCAAAATCAGCTGCTTTGGTGGAAAAACTTGCCAGCTGTCTACACTGGCCGCTTGAATTTCAGCAAGAACACTGACGATCTCATGTAAGAAATCAGTGTTTCTTGCGGAAATGCTATGCTGCTCCCGTTCGGGCAAAAGCTCTCTTGCACAAATCATTTGCGCAAGAGGGCCAGTGTAGACAGCACAGTGCTGTTTTCCGCAAAAAAGCCACGATGGCTAAAATGGCGATCGGGGCTTTTTTGCGCAAAAGCGTGTCTAGATTGGCAAAGTGCAGAAAAGCGTCTGTGCCAATCTAGACACTCTTTTCCGCAAATGCTTTTAACGGAAAACTTTTCCGTTAAAAGCATTTGCGGAAAATCATGCCAGTCTAGATGTAGCCAAGATGTGAGCAGGAGGGAACCTACCCTGATGTAGTTGACACCTTGGGGATCGTTACATGCCCCAGCGTGGGGCAGGTGACAGAGCTCTGCTAATGCGAGAGAGTACAAAGGTCTGGACCAGCCAGCACCAGGGGGCAACATGCCCCGGGGTAGGGGATTCCCTACCTGGCTGGGAGCAGTCATGCCACTGTTAGAAAGCATGGGGTGGCTGGTGGCTGCCCAGGACAGCTGTGCTGGCTTTGCCATGTTCTGATCCTCAGCTAGACAGGGCAGTGGTGCTTTCAGGCCCTGCCAGCTGGCCAAAGTGGATGCCAGGTTCCCACTAGAGGAAGGTGGAGAGTCCTGTTCTGACCCTAAGAGAGGGGCTGGTCAGCACTTTCCCCATCCTTGCAGACTAGTTCAAGGGACCTTGCCCCAGAGCCAAGCCCTGGAGACTTTGGTATCGCCACGCAGATAAACCTCTAACCCTTGAACCAGCCTCAGGCTTGTCACAGCAGGGCGGCGCGCCTGGAGTGCCAGGCAGCCGGATGCCCTCAGCAGGGAGCAAGCTGGGTGCTGCGCAGAGGAGAGGTGACACCACCAGCAGGACGGGGCATTCCTCCAGATCCTGGGGGGAGAGGGCCCCACTGGGGCATTGCCAGTTGCTGAGCTCCTTGAGGTGAGCCCCCACAAAGAGACACCGGCACGTCAGAGGGCAGCAGGATGAAGGGATTGCCTGGCCCTTGCACCCCTGAGCCCTGAATAAATGCTTCCGCTAACGTGGGCCTGGGACAAGCTCTTGTATCAGCTGGGAAGCTCGGACAGGCCCTGGCATCACCTCCCTGTGCCCAGCAGCTCCCTGGTCTGGGGTCTTTCCTGTCAAGGCCAGGGTTGGACACTGGGGTGCTCTCATTTTTGAATGGTCCAGGCACAAACCCTTCCTTACCGCCCAGGTGAGGCCCGTGGGCCCAGCCCAGCCCAGCCCTTTGGGGAGGATTTCAGGTGGACAGAGAACCCTGATCGCGGCAGCCCTGTGAGGTCTTCCAAGCTGTGGCTAGCCTGACCTTGCTCAGTGCCCCCCGCCACCGCCAGCCCACCCCCACTTGGTGCCTTCCTCTTCCCTGGCCAGCCTGGCTCAGGTTAGCGCCCCCGTCCCGATCCTTGGCCAGCCCCTCCCTGCTCAGCATGTGTTAACCTCTCACACCCTCAGCCCTGGTAGGGTGCCCCTCTCGTGCCAGGTGCAGCATTTGTGGGGCGTTTCCTCTTCCCTTTGCAGCTGGAAACACTGTCGCCCCTCTGGCCCCAGCAGTTCATTCAAGGCTTTGCTTGGCTGTTTCCATTAGAAGCATCAGGGCTGTTCCTGGGTGCTATCCTGGTTCTCCCACAAAGAACGCAGGCGGAGTCCTGTCCCCTGTGCCCAAAGGGGGACAAGCAGGAGGCAGGTCCCTTACCCTGAAATCCATGTCTGCACCTCCAGTGAACTCCCTGCCCAAAGGCAGCCTGGTCTCTGCTTCCTCCTGGGTGCTTAGTTGCAATATTCACAGATACATCCAACCCATTCCCCCTCTTGCCCCCATATTTGCCATCAATCCCAGGGAAGCCCCGTAGCGTGTGATTAACTTTGCTGTGAGATTCATTGCCTTGGGCAGCGGCTTCCTATGATTCCCAGATATCACCGCACAGAGGGATATTTAATTGCTCCATCCCTTTGACCTGAATGCAGGTTCTTAGCACTACCCTTGGCTTTAACCAGGCCTATGATTGTAGAGAAAGGACACCTTTGATGGAATCCACCAACACCTCCCCGGGTAACAACATGGAACCAAAAGGGGATACCCCAGGGGAGGCCTTCACGGGTAGCGACAAAGGCAAGATGGACTCCAAGGCTGCCAGGTAAGGGCCAAGTGCCTAGAGACGCCAACAGGCCAAGCTCTGCAGATACCAGAGCTTCCAGGGAGGGGTGAGCAGAGCCAAAGCTGGGGGGCTGGGCCAGGGAGGTCAGGGCACAGTACAGCAGAGCCCAGGCTAAGCCCGGCTGAATTCAGGAGCCTGCCTGGCAGGAGGGAGGAGCGGCAGTGATAGGAGCTGAGCCGAGTCTGAGCCAAAGGGAACGTATGGCTGGCAGGGCTGAGCCGCCGGCCCTGCTCCTCAGAGCATCTCCCTGGGCAGAGCACCCAAGGGCCAGGCATCAAGCTTGAGGACCGGGCTTCTCTTGGGGTGTGTGGGGGAAGGGGTTAAACCTGGGGCTGCAGGTGAGGAGACATGACATCAGGGACCTGAAAACCTGCAGGAGTGGCTGCAGCCCAGGAGTCCCAGCTCCCAGCCCCCCCTCCTTTAACCTGCCAGGACCCACTACCCTCCTGGAGCCACTGCCCTGCCAGGACCCACTGCCCCCCTGGAGCCAGGGCTCATAGACTTTAAGGTCAGAAGGGACCATTATGATCATCTAGTCTGACCCCCTGCACAGTGCAGGCCCCAGAATCTCACCCCCCCCTCCTAGAATAATCCTCTCACCTATATCTCAGATATTGAAGCCTTCAAATACTTTGAAGGCCCCAACATGCAGAGAGTCCTTCAGCTGTGATCTGTCCCCCATGCTACAGAGGAAGGCGAAAAACCTCCAGGGCCTCTGCCAATCTACCCTGGAGGAAAATTCCTTCCCCACCCCAAATATGGCGATCAGCTAAACCCTGAGCATGTGGGCAAGACTCATCAGCCAGACACCCAGAAAGTTCCCTATAGCCTGGGGTAGAGTCCTGGGTCCTACCACAACAGCAAGGGGCCAGCCTGGGCTGTGCGAACCACAACAGGGCAGCCACACCCAGCTGGCACAGAGGCTACGTCTGCACTGGTGGGTTCTTGCACAAGAACACGTCCACACTCCCATGTGCTTTTGCACAAGAGCATCCATGGCAGTGTGGACGTTCTCTTGCACAAGAAAGCTCTGACGGTCATTTTAGGCAAAGGGCGTTCTTGTGCAAGAAACCCCTCCGCGTCCACGCTGCCCTCTTGCGCAAGAGCGCTTACACGTGTTAGAAAAGAGCGTAGCTCTTGCGCAAGACGCCCTCTCTTCCCACGCTTTCCTGTAAATCTTGCGCAAGAGCGGATGGGCCGTGTGGGTTCTTATGTTCTTGCGCAAGAACCCGCCAGCGTAGACATAGCCAGAGGGAAGCAGGTATGGGGAAGGAGCTTGCTTCAGGGGGCGGGGCAAAGAGGTGTTTAGCCACGCCTTGCTCCAGGGGTGCGGTCATCAATCAGAGGGGCACAGTGGCCATGGGGATGGGCAGAGGATGCAGGGAGAAGCTTTAGGGGTACAGCAGCTAAGGGAGGGTTGAGGCCAGCACAGGGAGAGGGGCTAGGGGCTCAGAGGCCACGGGGATGGGCAGGAACAGCAGTGGGAGGGAGTTAGGGGCTCAGAGGCCATGGGGATGGGCAGGGAAAAGGATCCGTGGCTATGGTGCTGGTGAGGGTCAGCGGCTGTGTGGATGGGGCTGGCCAGCCAGGGATGGGGCAGAGGCTCTGGGTCCCCCAGCACAGGCTGACCTGCCCCCTCCCCCAGCATGAACCCCTACGCGGGCTTGGTGAGCGGCCTGCGCGCTGCCTGGCTCGCGGGGAAGACTCGCGGCGCTGAGCACCGGGTCTCCCAGCTGGAGGCGCTGGGCCGCTTCCTGGATGACAAGAAGCAGCCCATCCTGGACGCCATGGCCTCGGACATGCGCAAGGTGAGCCGGGCGGGTCCTGCCCCGAGCCCAGCATGGAGAGGGCGGGGGCAGGTCTCCCTGCAGGACAGGGGAGGCACCTGGTGTTCCCACAGCACAGAGAGCAGGACGTGCACAGGGGTCCCGCGCAGAACACATCCACACTGCCATGTGCTTTTGCACAAGAGAGTTCATGGCAGTGTGGACACTGTCTTGTGCAAGAAAGCTCTGGTGGCCATTTTAGCCTTAGGGTTTTCTTGCGCAAGGAACCCCTGCTGTGTGTTCACACTGCCCTTTTGTGCAAGAGAGCTTACACTTGTTAACAAAGAGCGTAGCTCTTGCACAAGAAACCCTCTCTTACCACACTTTACTGTAAATCTTCTTGTGCAAGAGCGGGCGGGCAGTGTGGACACTCTGTGGACGTTCTTATGTTCTTGCGCAAGAACCCGCCAGCGTAGACATAGCCAGAGGGAAGCAGGTATGGGGAAGGAGCTTGCTTCAGGGGGCGGGGCAAAGAGGTGTTTAGCCACGCCTTGCTCCAGGGGTGCGGTCATCAATCAGAGGGGCACAGTGGCCATGGGGATGGGCAGAGGATGCAGGGAGAAGCTTTAGGGGTACAGCAGCTAAGGGAGGGTTGAGGCCAGCACAGGGAGAGGGGCTAGGGGCTCAGAGGCCACGGGGATGGGCAGGAACAGCAGTGGGAGGGAGTTAGGGGCTCAGAGGCCATGGGGATGGGCAGGGAAAAGGATCCGTGGCTATGGTGCTGGTGAGGGTCAGCGGCTGTGTGGATGGGGCTGGCCAGCCAGGGATGGGGCAGAGGCTCTGGGTCCCCCAGCACAGGCTGACCTGCCCCCTCCCCCAGCATGAACCCCTACGCGGGCTTGGTGAGCGGCCTGCGCGCTGCCTGGCTCGCGGGGAAGACTCGCGGCGCTGAGCACCGGGTCTCCCAGCTGGAGGCGCTGGGCCGCTTCCTGGATGACAAGAAGCAGCCCATCCTGGACGCCATGGCCTCGGACATGCGCAAGGTGAGCCGGGCGGGTCCTGCCCAGAACCCAGCATGGGGAGGGCGGGGGCAGGTCTTCCTGCAGGGCATCGGGGGGCACCGGGTGTTCCCACAGCACAGAGAGCAGGACATGCACAGGGGTCCCTGTTCCTGCCTCCCCTTCATCCCGCCAAGAGCTAGGGGCTGAGTCATGCGCTGAGCAAGGTGACTCTCCTGTGCTGGGGGCAGGGCTGTGTCTGCAGACGGGTGTTTTGGTAGGGTCTGCTTAAATAGCTTTGATGCTCTGGGTTGTCAGTGAAGGCCGGTGACACCCGCTAGCTCCCAGCAGACCCTTCCCCGGGCTGGGAGTGCTCCCGCAGGACGTTCTGTCTCTGGCCCAGACTGGCTTTGCCTGGTGGCAGGGAGTCCCCCTGGCCCGAGGAGCGGGGCTGTTGACCCCGGCCCAGCTCAGAGGCTCCCTGGCCGGGCCAGTCGTGTGCTGGGCGCAGTGCAGAGGTGACGAGCTGAGGGGATCCGAGGCCGGGGATCGCCCGCGGGGATGGGTCGGTGTCTCCCGGCCGCCTGGAGCTGGGAAAAGGCCCCACGTGCCCAATCAGCTCTGTGGGAGCCTGGCGCGGGAGAGGAGCCCAGAGCCCTCTGGCCCAGGGACTGTGCTGCCCCTGGGGGTCCCTCAGATGGGGGGTGTCACCCCTCCCCCCCCACCTCAGAGAGTTTCTCCCGGCTGGCCCCATCCCCGGGCTGGCCATGCCCCGCCCCTCCCCGCCCT